ATGACCGCAGTATGGTATCACAATTATATGACGAAAATTTTTTAAATCGCATTTATAAAGGTGTCCGGAAACTTTTGTCCACCCTCTGTATAACAAAATGTATGATTTTATAGGAAATCAAAATTACTAATTTAATATAAATTTTTTTGTTTAAGAAAAAGAATGAATATGGGTAAAATTTATTAATAAAATATATTGCTTTATTTCTGTTATTTCATTTATTTATTTTTTTTTTAATCTGAAAATTAAATAAAATAAAATAAAAAATTGTGCTAGTATTTCTGCTTATTAACAAATTTACCTTAAATATAATATAAATAAAAGAAAATTAAATGAATTCTGACGATAATTGATTTGGTCCCAAATATAAAATATATTGCGCGCAATGCGTGATGCGTTCAAACCTTTTTTATGTCACTGCTCTTGAGTTTAAACTCTGTCTCAAAAAAATAAAATAAATTTAATTTAACTGATTCTGTTGAGAATTTTAAAGTTCACAGAAAATGATGAATTTATCAATACTGCTACCTCCATTCTGAATGGAATTTTCTAATTCAAGTTACTTAACAAAGAACATTGCAACTGAAGCAATGAATCAGTAGTTATTTGTTAAATAGAAATTGTTTATATTACAATTGATTTAATAAATAAAATATATTTGGTTAAATTCAAATGGATGTAAAAGTAAAACTGTTGACGCGGGAACAATCGTTGGGTTAAGCAGGTTATGTTAATTTAGACGGTCTTATTCATATATTTAAGTTTAAATTTCGTTAATATGATTTAATACTGAATATTACGCAGAAGTTTAGAGAGAATACGATCTTTATTTCTTTTTAATTATTTTATTTTCAGCTTAAATCTTTAAAACTTGAAATTTTTTTTAAGCGAGAAAAATTAAGCTAGCCGAATTCAATAAGCAGATTTATAATTCTCCATTAACTAAATTTTTCTTAAAATATTCACGTGAATCAATAAAAAAATAAATAAATATAATTTAAGAAAAATTTAAAAATCCTGCTTTACAAAATTGATGAGAAATTACGAGATTTTCTCATCATAAATAAGAATTATGTTAATTTTATAAAGACTTATTTTAATGTAACCTTTTCGAACTTCGAAATTCTCTGCCGATCGCATCTTAGGACTCGCCTGAAGCGCTAGTAAAATAGATATTTAAATAGTTATTCCAAAATAAATAAATAAATATAAATATATATATGAGTTCAATAAACATAACAACTCCATAGATTTACTATCCATCAGTAAATATCGATCAATTACGTCTTGAAAATAACATTTTTTTTTTGATTAGAATAATAAAATTTATAAATGATAGTATTTCAAAAAGAAATTAAATTACCTTCTGTATGGATCAATGAATTTACATTCTATATTTCCTTCTGATATTTTTGTTTTATTTTCACAATCTTTACATTTACACTCAATAAATTTTATTTTAATTTTCTTACTGACCCGTTTTGAAAATATTAGTCCATAATTATTTTCATTTTCTGAATATAAACTAATGTATTTTGGATTTTGATAACTTTCTCTATCGAACTTTTCAAGATCAATGAGCTGCTTCTTAAATGGAATAGTACCGAATTCTTTGTCATTATGAGAATTTGAAATCATAAGTGTATAAAAAGTAAAGTTGGGTAATTTAATACTACATTGATTATTTTTTAGACAATAAGAGAATATATTTACACCAATTTTATCGTTGTCTTGATATTTAAAAAAATGATGTCCAATGACAAGAGATTCAAATGAACGTTCCAATTTGCTTAACACCGGAATTCCCACGAAAATATTCATTGAATTTAAGTCACGTTCAATTTCTAATTTTAAAGTATGTGGATTATTTGAATCATAAAGTTTCTCTATTAATTGAACATTAATATCTGAAAAGATGGTATTAAAATCCGTGTCATAACCTATAATCATTAATCCAATTTTCAACTTGAACTTTCTTCGAGTTTGAAAGGAGTACATGGATTTTATTTGAATACGATGGATTAAAATTTTTGGTATTTCACCTGATGGATGAAGAATTTGACAATTAAAAACATTGTTGGAATTTTGAGTATCAATTACTGTTGCGAAGATCCTACAATCAGGTTTATACTGAAAAATTTTTGAAACATTATACGGTAACGTTTTTGTTTCGTTAACCTTTCCATGTTTAAAGTGATGATCTACAATATTTGAATAAAGAACTTTTTTTCCAATAATTTCATAGATTCGTTTACAAAACTCTTTAGGTAATAGCTTAAAAATATGGATAGGATTTCGATATTCTATACATTCCCAATTGTCATAATTTTTTAAGGATTCAATCCAAGTCTTTTCATTAAAATTTTCATCTTCAGGATGAATACCTCCAAGTAATCTCATGTGATTTCGATTAAATTTATAAAATTCTGAAGTACTTTGTATTGTACTAGAATTAACTACGAACTTTGAAGGTTCCAACTTTATTTTAAATTCGCCATCTATAGACTTTGTTACAGAGTTCTCTTCTGAGATTTCAACATCTTTAATATAAACTCTTCCACCCAAAACAACTTGAGTCGGAATGAATCGTCCATATTCTTCAATAATACTTATAAATTGTTCAGGATCATTTGAATTTATAGCTTTCTCTATCGTATCTGTAAATTCATCAGTTGGTTCTAAATCTTTGTCTTTGCTAAATTCCAATAGTACTTTGCTAAATTCTGTATATTGATAAGTTGATTTAATTTCAGCATTAAAATTTTCAAAACGTGAGGATCCGACGGATAAACCTAACTTTACAAAATTCATTATATCAATACCATCTGCTTCAACAAATAAATTAGTTTTCTTCATCCAGTCTTCTTTTGATTGAAATTTAAGTGTATCTTTTTTAAGTCCTTTAGCACCGAGCACCGTTAATATACAATTTTTCATTATAAATGCCTTTTTATTAGCTTTCTTAATCCCATCAAAAGTCATAGTACGCCCATAATCTAGTTCGAATTTTTCATTCAAAGTATTCCAACTAGGTCTTGAACTTTTAATCAAATATAAAGTATTTTGACTTTCTGAATTATCAATAATATCTTTTAAATCAAATGATTCTTCACAAACTATTTCAGAATAATCATTCATTTTTTGTGAATTTTTTTTTGAAAATGAAAACATATCATTAATGAGATTATAATTTTCAAGTTCTTTACGAATATCAGGCAACTTATCATTTAAATTTAACTTATGTAATTTAGAATTCTCTTCCATAGTCATAATAAATACGATTTCTTTATTGGAATCGGAAGTCATCATTTTTTTTTAAAAAAAAAAAAAAAAAAAAATTAAAAAAGCGTTCGTGCTTATATTTTATGGTACAACATATAGGCGGGTTTTATGCAACTCACACTATGAACTATTGTCGATCTTTAGCTGTGTTGAAATTTGTGTCATTGGTGTCACGGAAGGTCCAATATTTTTTTAAAGCAAAAAAAAATTAAAAAAAAATAATTAAAAAATTTAATATTTTTAAAATGGACCTTGTAATATTTTCGTCATTACGATAACCTACGATAGTCAAATTAATTGAAAAGATAATTTATCAAATATTCGTAAAATACTTGAACAAAAAAATGAAATGAACGATATATTATCATTTGCGCCAAAAATAAATAATGTATTAAATGAAATTTATTCATTGTACACTATACTTGAGTGAAAAATTTAAACCATTATTTGAAATTTTTAAAAGAATTGCGTAAATTAGATTATAAATTTTGATGGAATTAAAACAGCTAAAAGGAGAGTATTTAAATGAAGGGATGTCGAAAAGGAAAAATGGGATATAACTCAAATGAAGATTGGATGATGAAAACAAATTTAATTTTTACCAATGTAGAGAATTTAGCAAAATTTGGAATAAAAGTTGGAATACAAAAAATAAAAAATTTGAAATTTGAAATCAATGCAACTTATCGTTACAAAGAATATCTTTGGAATTTAGTAAGTATTTTGGAACCAACGAAGGTGTATAATCTCTGGAAATGCCGAGGAATTTAAGCAGATACTGAGAATTTGGTCAATTTATTCCAAATGAAGTTAATTTAGGCGGGAGGACCTATTATGAGGGACATAAAGTTTTAAAGGAACATACTGAAGAAAATGCTATTAATGGAACTATAGATGTAAATGCTGGCCTTCAGAAACAAAATAGGAAATGAAGCCATAGTTTCCAATGGAAACAATTCCTATCAACAAGAGTGTGCCAAATTAATTGGAGGGTCGCTACCTGATAGTCCTGAACATTTTGATGACTTAATCTTTAGACATTGGGATTGCATTGAATATAAAAATCCAATTAGCATTTTTCAACTTTAGATAAAATTTTATGTGAGCAAGTAATTAAATTTTTAGGAAAAAGAATTCATTATTCAAAAATTGAGGACTATAAATGTAAATTTGAGAAACAGGGTGAACCGTTGATATATGAATTACGTAAAATATCACTTCAAATTTAAAAATTATTCAAAACGTAGATGCTGATTGTAACTTTTTGCAACAGTTATTGATGCAAAGGTGTGAAAAAGGATACCTTTTAACTGTCAAATCTTATGTCCGACAAAAGGCATTGTATTCAAGAAGATTTTAAAAACAAGATTGCCAATTGAAAATTAATTTTATTCTTACAGATTAAAAAGATTTTAATGCATGTTCGATTATAGAGTCTATGAATTTCTTAGATTTTTAAGATAATTCATTTATCGAAGAAGTTCCTTGTATTGGAATTCTTGTGCTAAAAAAATCGGATCCTACGAATAATTCTCTCGTCATTGGACATCAATTTTTCAGAATTCAAGAAAAAAAAAATAAAATTGGACTATACACATTTGCTTACTATTTAAGAAATAATGTCATGTTTATTTTCCTGATTTTACTTTATATATACTAGTTGTTTTATTATTATTAATAATTAATAGTATTTATTTAAATTTTTTATTTTATTTTTTTAGACAAAAAACAAATGAATAAATTCTTGTGATGCAATATGCTGATGGAGGCGCCCTTCGAAATTATTTTAATGATAACTTTAAAAAAATTATCTTGGGATGATAAAATAAGAAAGTCATTCCAAGTTGAAATGCAATAAAAATCAAAATTTTGTTAAAAAATTCCCAGAGCCTGATTTTCCTAGCAAATTTCCCATATTATGCGTATGAAATTTCTACGACGACTTTTAAATATAAATTACGCAGAGTTTAAACAAATTTCATTTTATAAAATGAAAGACAAATTTGAATTCCGGATCAGGAGATGGTTTAGACGTATAGTTATACTTATCGAATAAATAGAAAATTCACTTATATGGTTGCCATTATGATTTTAATTTCAAACTCAATAAATAAGATTATTTAACTTTAATAATAAAATTCTTTTTTTAAAAACAAACAAAACAAACAAAAATTTTGATAAAATGTAACATAGAATAATAAAAACACGAATTAATATACATGATTTTTTGTAACTTTATTTTTTTTAAAAAAAGTTGCAAAACTTCCGTGCTTTATGAAATAAATAAATTGGGAAGTAATAAGAAAGAAATGAAGAATTAAAGAATTAAAGGTTAATGGTATAGTAATTGCATTTCCACTGGCTTCATTCACTTTGACCGATTCGAAGTGATTAGGACATCGACTCGATGAAAATTTTTGACCATTCGAATCTTCTAATAGTAGTGTGATGATTTTGAGCGCGGAAATCATGTGCACGCGCACATGACCGCACTATCAAAAAAAAAAAAAAAAAAATGGTCCGCTATTGCGCTCTTTCCATTACAATTTTTAGCATTTTCCGCACACATGTTTAGGTCTGAAAATCATGCCTGGTATCATGGGGAGTCGTTAGACCCTTTTCAGCCGTTGAGAATAGCAACTATAATTTTATAATCAAAAATCTTAATGTTTAAATTTTAATTCATGAAAAAGATATATAATTGCTAAAAATTTGTTTGAAATTTTGCGCTGAATTGACATTAATCAAATTTGAAACAGCGATTCAGTCATATTTGAAAATTCCAGAGTCGACTCTGCTTGGTTTTTGCGGAGTTAACTCAGCCGTCGACTCCGGCTCCACCAATTTCGCGAAATCGGATTTTGATACATATAGATAGGTACATTGGTCGCTTCGTGAATCAAATTTGTGACTATACATCGTGAAGCTTGTATATATATACCTACTTATTCTATCGTTACAATCCAGATTCGTGATATGGCATGGTAACTCACGTCCTTTGATCTCGATGAATCTTTGTATTTCTTTTTTTTCGCGAAGGACATAATCTTTTATATAAATGTCAACACCATTTCAGAAAAAAAGAAATGATGAGTTTTTTTTTTCAAATTTTAGATTCGTCGATTTTATTAAATTTGTAGAAAACAAACCTTCGTTAATTAGGATTCATGGGCATACCGCAATTGACACATAATTGTATATGCGAATGAACACGACAATATCAGTTACAAGGATTTCGTTCAATTTTTCGAGGTTTTCTACTAAAACCTTTGCTGGATAAGAAACACAGAGATAAGAAGTAATAATGTACCATTGAAAGAATTTAAATGAAAAATTTAAGACTGAAAGTATCTAATGTTTAAAGTTAGAACCTAAAAAAAATAAATAGCTCCTTTCGCTCATGCATTTTTTCATAAAATAATTAAGAATTTCCTAATTTACTAGGTCGTAATTCCATGATACTACCATTAGACAATAATATAAATGATGATAACAGAAAAAATAAAATATTCGATGGCTACACTGAAGTGTTAAAAAAAAAAAATTAATAAAAAATTATTTAAAAAATAAAAAACCTTATCTATATAAATTGACCTGAAAGAAATTATCTAAAAAAATAATATAATGAAAACATAAAATCAAAATATGAAAAGGAACCTATATAAAGAAAGGGACGTAAGATCCGGAAAGGAATCAAAATCGTTCGATCTGTGCGTCTGCTAAAAAAATTAAAAAACGACACGCTGATACTTGCGCAGACGATCCCAATTTTCTAAAGGAAAGGATTTTTTTAATTTTTATCATTTTATTCTGGATCTAACCAGATATAGGTTAGAATAATATTTTCGTAACCAAATTCCTTCATCATGGAAGCAAAAAAAAAAAAATACAAATTGGATCGTCAAAGTATAGACTATAAGAACGTCGGAAATGACTAAACCTCATCTAGAAACTAATCTTAAACCAAAATATTGAATTCGTGGTTAGTTCAATCAGCGCGATATAAGCTTTCATTCCTCTATGTATAAAAAGTTAGGGCCAATATTTTTCACCCGATCGCTCGTGTCCAAATTTGGGAATATAAATTAAAAAGGAAATACTTTGTCACACAACCAAAGCATTTTTATTTATAAATTTATTTTTTTTTTTTCCTTACATTTCAAACTTTCAAAATCGCACTTTTTCTCGCAGTGTTTATAGATTTTTTTTTTTTAAACTATACTTATTTGTAAAAAACATTCATGTCAAATTCACAACGGATAAATATAATTTTTCCCCTCATTTCATTGTAATTTAAAATGTCTACAAACACAGATTTTATTGAATGGATAGAGAGATGTATAGAAGAGAGACACATTAAATTTTATGATTATCGTAAATTTTTCAATGTAAAACGGATTGGTAGTGGGGGATTTAGCTCCGTTTATAGAGCGAATTGGAAAAGTAGTGAAAAATATTTCGCATTAAAATCATTTAATATGGATAATGCTACTCTTAAAGAAATTATCAGAGAGGTGCGTAACTTGGGGAGGAAAAGAATTTTATTTTTTATAAGTTGTATCACAAATTATCTATTATTATTAACCATTCATTTTCTTCTTTTAATTAGTTGAAGATACATCGAGAAGTTGATTTCAATGATAATATAGTGCGATTATATGGAATAACGAAAGTTGAATCAGGTAAAATAAATAATATTTCGTATGTACGTATTTTTCCTAATTTCAATTCTTTCTTTTTATTATTATTTCTTAGGAGACACATATCGATTGGTTTTAGAATATGCAGATGGGGGAACACTTCATAAATATTTAGAAAAGAATTTTCACACACTTAATTGGCAAGATAAATACAATTTTGCGTTACAATTATCAGATGCCATAGAATGTTTACATGAAGAGGGAATAGTACATCGAGATTTGCATTCCAACAATATACTTATACACAAAGAGTCAATCAAATTAGCAGATTTTGGATTAAGTAAGCGTATCGAGAGTAATAGTGCTAATAGTGCATCAAAAATATTTGGTATTATTCCATATATTGATCCCAAAGGATTTTGTAGTACAAGAAAAAACAGAGGATCTTCAACGGATAAGTTTAAATTGAATGAGAAAAGTGATGTTTATAGTGTTGGCGTACTACTTTGGGAATTATCTAGTGGAAAAAAACCTTTTAATGAAGAAGATTATGATTTAAAGTTGATCATTGGCATTTCGAATGGGTTAAGAGAAACTATTGTAGAAGGCACGCCTAAAGCATATTCTGATCTTTATACAAGTAAGCGAATATTTTACAGTTTATTTCAAAAAATTATACATATATATATTATGCTAATTCACGTTCAATTCAAATTAAATTTAGAATGTTGGGATGATGATCCAGGTAAAAGGCCGACAATTCAAGAAGTTGTCATATCTTTGAAATCAATGATTTCACCATCAAATTCAACAAATTCTCGACAAACTTTTATAATTGTTGAGTCGGAAAAAGAGGATATTAGCAAACGATTATCTCAATCTACAGTGCCACATGAAAATATTATAAACGACTCAAATTTAAACTCAGAAGTTATGCCTACATTGCCATCGCAACTCGTTCAAAATTTTATTCAATTTATGAACAACTCGAATTCGGTCATTGAAACTATAACAACGGAGATAGTGGAAGAATTAGTGACGTTATTTATAAAGATATTGAATGAAGGAAAGTCTCATCCACAACGTTGTTCAATCCTAAACGATTACTTAGAATCACATGGTCTCACCCTTGAAGAAATTCATATATGGTTAGCTAATAAAGATTTCACAAATGAAGAAACAAATTGTATATTTTTCATGGGATATTTAAATTACTTGAACCTGAATTTCAAAGATGCATTGTTCTGTTTTAATCAAGCAGCATTACAAAATCATCCTACTGCTCAATATTATTTGGGAAATTGTTATGATCTGGGAATAGGTGTTAAGGTTAATAAACAATTAGCATTTGAATGCTATTGTAAAAGTGCCAAACATCCTAATAATTTTATAGGTAAACATTCGTTAGGAATGTGTTATGAACATGGTTTTGGGACTGAGAAGAATGAACAAATGGCTTTTTCTTTGCTTCAAGAAGCGGCAGATGGTGGATACGGAACTGCACAAGTCAATATTGGTAACAATTATCGTTTTGGAAATGGTGTTCAGAAAGATGAAAAGAAGGCTTTTTATTATTATAATTTATGTGATCAGAATGAACATGCTCCTGGTATTTATAGGTTAGGTGATTGTTATAAATACGGCATTGGTACGTCTGTTGATGAAAAGAAGGCTTTTGAATTATATTTGAAAGCTGCTAATATGAATTATAATGTTGCACAATATAACGTTGCCGTTTGCTTTGAAGATGGCATTGGTACAACAAAAAATTCAGAAAAAGCAAAGGTGTGGTATATTACAGCTGCTCATAATGGCTTTAAATTGGCTAAAAAAGGTTAGGGCAATCAACATTGCATTAGTAAAACATATACGTTTATAAGAACATTTACTTCTGATCAGTCAGAATTTGATAAATATCATTCATTTTATTTTGTATTTAACTTTTGCAATACTTATTATTCTATCTCATTTATCAATAATCGTTGCTTTAATAATAAATGTTTTCAAGGCTTAATTTATTTCAAATAATTTTATACCAAAAAAAAATTCTTTTTTTTTGTATTATCAAATAGATTAAAATAAATGAGTAAATTTATTCAGGCGCGATATCATCGCCTCCTTTTTGTCACCCGTGTTACACCCCCTCCCTTTTTCATTTTTCATATATATTCTGGAACTTAGAAATTTTTTCATGTGTGAAACCCTATTCGTCACATATGTTCGTGTCACATGGTTTAGAGTTAGGTTAGGGTTAGGGTTAGGGTAAGGTATATATATAAAGGCGATGTATAAGGAGTATCGCCTCCGCGATGAATAAATTTACTCTAAATAAATTATTATCCATAAATTTTTATAGTTTAATAATAATTGATCACTTTATAAATGCAAACACTGGAATATATTTTTTAAATAAATAAAAAACCATACCATTAGGCTGTACTTTTAACTATAAAACTTGCATATATTATCACAGTAATCTCTTATTCTTTTTTTCTTTTTTTCAAATAATCAGTTTTAGTATATATTTCCAGTTACTAAACCTTCAAGTAGAATAATAGGACCTAATTTTAAAAAGGAAAAATATGCCTAAAACATTCTTTAAGGAGAAGTTTTATTGTTAATGCAATGCAATCTTCATTAAATTTTTCTTCAGACTTTCTTTACACTCTTTTTCATCCAGTTTTTCAAAACTGTGAAAATGTAGACTCATCTGTCCAAACTATCTTTTTTCAGTCTTTTACAGTCCAATATTTTTTTTCAATTGCCCATGCAAGTCGTTTGTTTTTGTTGATTGCTGAAATAAGAGACTTCTTTTAAGAAATACAGAAATACACATTTTCCTTATAAAATACATGATGAATTATTTTTGTAAAGACTGGCTTATTAATTTTAGCAGAAAATATATTAGTAATTTCTACTAGATTTTTTTGTTTAGTTCTTTATTTTTGAGAACTATTGCCTTCAATTTTTTCCTTTTTTGGCTATTGATCAAGCAGGGTCAATCTGGTCATTTTTTAAAAGGTGCTTCTGATTCATAAGCTGCAAGAAACTTTATAATAATTATTTGATAACATCTTATAGCTTTTGCAATTTTTGTATTGCTGTGACTTAATTTTTTGGCTGCAATAATGCCTTCCTTTTATATAGGAGTTAATTCTTTAGTGAGACCTATCACATGCGTAAAGTTAAAAATGGTAGAGATTTCAAATCTAATTTTGCAATATTTAATATATTAAATCAAAATAATAAACAAATATTCTATTTAGAAAATATATAGCAAATATATTATAAAAATCACATAACTAGTTACATATTAACAATTTATTAAATCAGGTAAATTTTGATCATGCAATATTTTGTTTCTCCTTGGTATATTAAAATATATAATAATATCTGTAAACTGACTTTATTATATTACTTTATAAATGTTTTATTTATATCTTTATTTTAAAATCACTTTTTATTCACATAAACTATTTTTCAGTCACCTTTTAATTAACTATTAATTTTTTGATTTTTTGTATATTCTTTCCAATAATTTATAGTTTTTTCTCTATCTTTTTTTGATTTTTTAATTAAAAAAAAATAATAATTCAATAAATTAACTTATTTGACTAAATTAAGACTAAAGTTGCTAATAAAATCTAAAAATTTTGCAAATTATTTAAATAGTAAAAGGTAAAATTTAACAAAAATCTTATTAAAAATCTGTAAAACTTAGAAAAAGATAAAAATATATTAAAATTTATAAAATAGTAAACTATATTAAACTATAGTAAAAAAAATTAGTAAAACTAATATACAATCCTCTAAATTATAATATTTATCATTTTAAGACAAATTTCAAGTTATTAATAATACTTTAATATTAACTTTAAATTTTAAATATATAAAATTTATAAATATTAAATTTTTAAATATATTTTAAATATTTTTATCAAGATTTTAATATATATAAATAAATTTAATAAAACAAAAGCAATATATTTTTAATATATTCTAATTATTTTGCTAAATATTTAATATTATAACTTTTTGAAATAATTTAGTAAAAGAATTGTTTTTATATATCTGATTAATTATTTATATATTTTGAATATCTAATTTATTATATTTAATTTATATATAATAGTTTACAAAAGTAATATAACTGTTAAATATAAAACTTTGAATTAATATAATTTTTTATTTATAAATTATATTAAAGTAAAAAAAGTTATGAGATTTTCTGAATCAAAATTTATTAAAAAATATATTTTATTTTGATTTAATCACGTAAAAAAAATTTACATAAGTAATTTTTAAGTTTTAACATTATATTATTTATATATTTTAATAATCAATATTTAACCAATTAAGTTTAAACCAAAAACTATAACAAATTCTTATACTAACATATTTATTTATTAAATTACATTTATTACTTTCTTGTATAATCCCTTAGCTTTTATTACATTATTTATCCTTTCTGACATATACTTAATTAAATTAATACATACATTGACCTCAATCTTGAATTAAATGTTTTGTAATTTTTCTCACAGATCTTTCTTTCTTATAGCTTATTCTAGAAGATGTCTTAAATAACATTTAACTTCATTCTAAAGATATTCTATAAGATTTAAACTTGAAAATTATACTGAGCAGTCAGGAATAATCATTTCATTATTAAAAAATCAGTTCTTAGTAAGATTTACTATATGTTTGAAATTATTATCATATTGAAAAATTATATTTTCAATATTTAATCTCTAATCTAAAATAGATTCTACAAGATCATCTTCAAGTATTTGCTAATAAAGCTACTATTAATTATATAAAAGTTGCTAACACCTTTTACTGAAAAGCATTTTTAAATTATTATATTATCTTTACCAAATTTTACTATTAGTTTAATATGAAGATTTCTTAATAACTCTTTTAGTTTCTTTTAATAATACTAGCATCTATTTGAACTAAAAAGTATGTATTTACTTTTGTCAAATTAAATACCTTCTTCCAATTCTTTACAGACTAATTTCAATATTTTTTGTAAAATCTAAGTAATATTTACAGTATGTTTTTTTAAGGTAAGATTTTTTCTTTTTAATTCTTGATATCTGACTATTTCTTCAAAGTATTTTACATATGGTTTTAGCTAAAATTTAAATATTATTATAGTTTATAAGGTCATCTTATATAGGAACTACTATAGAACATTCATTAAAAATAATAAGTCAGAAAGTTTTACATTCAGTATGAATAAAAATGACTCAAAAATAACCTGATTTTTTTATTTTAAAATCACCTGTCTTTTCTTTACATTGATAAATTTTTGTAACTATAAACATATAGATATTTTCTTTAGCTATAATAATATTAGCTTGATAACTTTTATCAAGAAAGACAAAAATTTTGCATATTTTTTTAAAGATAATTGTGAAATACGAAAAGGCTAAAAATTTGTTTCTTTATAATTATATAATATTATGTAACTTATTACTTTTTTGATTTTAATCTAACTAAAAATAGATTGACTTAAAATCACATAAATAATGCAATGTCTAAAATGAAAAAATTGTGATTTAGCTGTAAATTATATTATTAAATAGGAAATTTAATTACAAATTTATATAAATTTTGATTTAGAGAACTCAATAAAATTTATTTTATTTGGATATAATTTATAAATAAAAAAGTTACATTAATTTAAAATTTTATATTTAGCAGTTATATTATTTTTGTGAATTACTATATCTGCTATAGAAGTTAGCTATGAAAAATTTTCATATAATAGTCATTAAATATATAAAGTGAATCTAAAAAAACTTAAACAATAAGATGATTAATATTAGTTTAATAAAAAATTTTACTTAAAAATATAATAATAATTTGTTATAGTATGTACATTAATATTAATTAAAAATAATTTAAATACAAAATATAATTTATTTATATATTGATTAACTTTAATTATGAAATATTATAAGATAAATTCTAAAATTAACAGGATCATATTATTTAGTTAATTAATAAAATACCTAATTTCTAGATTCTTAAACTTTTCAAATTTTTTAGTATTATTAAACACATTCAAAATCAACTTTAATCTACTAATTCTAATAATAAATTAATCTTATAAGATTTTAATATTTTGTTAATACCTTTTTATATTCAAATTTCTTATAAATAACTTATTAAAATTAATAATTTACAAAAAATACTATTTTATAATTATATATAAAGATCTAATTATCAAAATATACTAGTCAAAATAGTCCAAATCAGCTAAAAATCAGATGGCTGATTTTAGGTTAATTTTGATACTATTTATGGCTAATTTGCCATGTTTTTCGATCAGCACAAATAGGTGCTGATAGATGCTAATTAATTCCAATCAGATATAGCCATTCAGAACTTAAATTTAACTATAAATTAGTTTAAAACTGGCCTCAATTTGGCAACAATTCAGATGTTGATAGATGCTGATCAATTCCAATCAGATATAGCCATTCAGATTAAATTCAACTATAAATCAACCTAAAATTTATCTTAATTCAGCATCATTCAGCATTAATTCACAACTTAAATAACATAAATTGGCTTAAAGTTGACCTTAATACAGCATTATTCAGCATCAATTCAGAACTTAAATAATCATAAATCAGCCTAAAATTGATCTCAATTCAGCATTATTCGGCATTAATTTGAAATTTAAATAACTATAAATCAGCCTAAAATTAGCCTCAATTTAGTATTAATTCAGTCAAATAAGTATATAAAATTGATAAATTATATTTATTAAATTTATTAAATATTATAATTTTATTAATAATAAAAACCTAATATAATTCACAAAA